ACACTGCTCACTCGAAGACTCTGGCGAATCTTTGCCCGCCCCGCAGGTACAGCTCAACGGCACCTCTAGACGCCACGGAGGGCCCCCGTAGGCTAGCGAAGTCGGGGGGCAGCATTATTCAACGCGGGGACTACCATAGGTGCATATCATGTCCTCGCATTCCCCTCTGTGCACGTCTGAATGCGCACATGCTTTGCCTGCTGCATTGCGATGGCCTCAAGGCCCCGACAGGAGAGCCGTCGGGAGCGCCAGAGTCAGCGCTTCCCCACGATCTGGCCGCGAACGGGCAAGTGCAACGCTCCTTGGCGACCCCTCCTTGCGGTGCCAAAATGCCGCGCTGGCTACATCGCGATATACACCGGGCTTTCAAAGCAGATGTGTCGGCGACTCCAAACGAGCGCCTCGCTCGACACATCCCAGCAATCCGGCCGCAAACGGGGAAGTGTCCCCCTCCTTGGCGGCCTCCTTGTGGTGCCCAAATGCCACGCCCGCTATACCACGGCTGTCATGGGGTTCTGAAACGGAAGGGGCAGGAGGTGCAACACGAGCGCCTCGCTACAGACATCCTCGCGGTCTGGGCGCAAACGGGCAAGTGTCCCCCTCCCTTGCGGCTCCTCCTCGGGGTGTCAGGGTGCCACGCCAGAGATATCGCGGAGATCATGAAGCGACCAAACGAAAGGAACCACGGGTGCAACGCGAGCGCTTGGTCGGGACATCCCCGCACTCTGGGCGCGAACGGGGAAGCGTCCCCCCTCCCTGGCGGCTCCTCCTTGGGGGGTCCAAGTGCCACGCCTGTTATATCAAAGTGATCCTGCAGCTCTCGGAAAAAAGAAAACGATCGCGAGTACAAAACGAGCGCTGGCTCGAGACATCCCCAAGATCCGGGCGCGAGCAGAGAAGCTTCATCTTCCCTGTCGGCTCCTTCGTGGAGTGCCCAAGTACCACGCCTGCTCTGTCGCGATGATCATGGCTCAAGCGAGAGGAGTCACGGATGCATATCGAGCGACTCCCTCGAGACATCCCTGCAATCTGGGCGCGGATCGGTAGGGTCCCCCTCCCTCTGCGGCTCGCCCTTCGGGCGCGCATGGAGAAGTGCCCTGTCCATGCCAGCTCCTCCTTTAGATGCCTAAATACCACGCCTGCTAAAAAAAGAAAAAATGCCACGCCTGCTAAATCAAGATGATCACGAGGCGCTCAAAACTGGGAGGCCGCCGGTGCAGAGCGAGAGCCGCGCCGTAGACACCACAAAGATCTGAGCGCGCAGGGGGGAAGTGCCCCCCTCCCTGGCGGCCCCTCCTCGGGCTGTCAGAGTGCTGTGCCTGCTATATCAGCGTAGACGCGCTCGAACACGAGAGAAAACGCGGGTGCAGAACGAGAGCCTCGGTGTAGAAATCCCCACAACCTGGGCGCAAACGGGTTGTGCCCCCCCCCCCCCCCCACACACACCCTGTCGGCTCCGCCTTGCCAAGTGCCACGCCTGCGACATCGCGATGGGCATGGCCGGATCTGCATAGATAGAGCGAGTATGAACGGGTCTGAGTGTGAGCAATGCAGTGTGGGTGCGTGATGACTTGGCCGTGAGGATTGTCTAAGTGCGTGAGTCTGGATGTGAGTGAGCCTGGGAGCGCATGGATCTGAGTATGAGTGGGTCTGAGTAAGAGTGAGAGTGTGCGAGAGTCTGAGTCTGAGTCGGTCTGAGTACGAGTGAGTCCGATTATGAATGAACATGAGTATGAGTGAGTCTTCATAGTGAGTCTGAATGTGAATGAATACGCCAGTGAAGTATGAGTGAGTCTGAATGTGGGAGAACACCCACTATCATTCCTCCGCCTGCTGGCGTTCCCGTGCTGGTCGCGCGAAATGTGGAAGAAAATAGTGGAGGCGGGAGGAGTGGAGGTGAGGCAGAGGCATACACTAATCGCATCAATATCATGATTGCGACATTGGGAAAAACGATACCGCTGCTCCAAGGACCTCTCCCTGGGGCGCGTCCTGACCAAGATTCCGATGCGGATCCAGCCGTGGCGACGAAGGCCACCTCCAGGAGGCCTATCAGGGCGACAACGAGGGGGGTTGGGTAGTTGTCGGCATCTCGACGTTACTTCTCCTCGGGTCCAAAACTTCGAGGTGCTTTCGGAGGTCCGCACGCGAGGACACAATCAACCAAGACCGAATCCGCCGACCCTGTCGGCGTGTGTGGTGCGTCTCTCCGGTTCCGGGAGAAAGGAGGAGGACCCTGATCTCTCACGCTGGAAAGAGAGAAAGAGAGAGAGAGAGAGAGAGAGAAAAAAGAGAGAGAGAGAGAGAGAGAGAAAGAGAGAGAGAGAACACCCTTCCTTGTTCGGGAAACGGATTCGTCGCTTTAGGAAATTCCATCCACGTCCTCATTACGTCAAACGGAAGCCCCCTCCCTTTGTCCCTTCCCCGGCAGGGGGGGGCGGGGAGGGAGGGGAGGGGGAGGGTCAAATTCGCATCCCCCGTTTGCGGCTTTTACAGAGGGGCCCTCTGTAGTGTAGATGCGGAGGAGGGGGAAATCGCCACGACGGATCCGCATGAGCGCCCCTACACGGGCCAAGCTCCACAAGACAGCCCAAGAACGCCTAAGGACGGCCAAAGGGGGCTCCCAGACGGCCAAAGGATGCCGCCCAGATACGTTTCCCCCTCGAGACCCCCCGAATCCACGAAAAGCTGTTTTCAAAAGACCCCAGAATGCCACAACGCCTCCTCCTCCTCCTCCTCCTTCTCCTCCTCCTCCTTCTCCTCTTCCTCCTCCTCCGACTCTCCCTCCTCCTCCTCCTCCTCCCTCCTCCCTCCTCCTCCTCCTCCCCCTCCTCCTCCTCCTCCTCCTCCTCCTTCTAACATTCTCCCCCTCTGCCTCGCCTCCTCCTCCTCCTCTTGAACCTCTTCCTTTTCCTCCTCCTCCTCCCTCCTCAGTCCTCCGGATTCCACCATTCTCCCCTGGGCGTCCTCCTCATCTCTTTCCCTATGCCGGTGCGCCTCCTCCTCCTCTCCTTTTCCTCCTCCTCCTCCTCCTCCTCGTCCTCCTCCTCCTCCTCCTCCTCCTCCTCCCCGCTCCTCCTCCTCCTCATCCTCTCCCTCCTCCTACTCCTCCTCGTCCTCCTCCTGCTTCTCCTCCTCCTCCTCCTGCTCCTCCTCCTCCTCCGCCTCTCCTCCTCCTACCCGCCTCCTCCTCCTCCTCCTCCTCTGCCTCCTCCTCCTCCTGCTCCTCCTCCTCCTCGTCCTAGCGAACAGGGTCGGCGGCACCGGCCGTAAGGCCTTCGCAACCGGTAAATTAAGCGGATCGAATCGGAGTGTGCGCTGGATCGGGCTGCATCCGCACGGAGTCGGAATCGAACCAGATCGGCCGCGCCAGGAAGAACGACAGCGCCTCTGCACGCATCAGGCCGCAAGAATGTCGGCATCTAGCCGGATCGGGCAGGCCAGCCCCGACGTCGAATCGGACCGATCGGGCAAGCGAGCTGCGCGAGGATCGCCAGGGCGGCGTCCTCCATGCCAGGCGGTGTGCGGGCGGTGCCGCGCTGCGGCGCTTCGGGAAAGCCTTCGCCGAGCTGCGGCCGACGCGAAGGGATGGGGGCCATCGGCTTCCCGCGGGCTGTGTGCCCGTCCTCGAAAAGTCCCACCTCCCACAGAGGGAGCTTCTGTGGAGGGTCTCTCGTGGGCTGCGAAGCTGCCCCTCCTCGCTGCCCCCGCCTCCCCAAAGGCCCTCCTGTGGCACGGCCTCTGGTTGGCCGTATACATAACCGTCCCCCCTCCCCGCCATGCCCTAACCTCAGGAAGGCATTAAGAACCCCCCCTGGGTTATTCTTAGCACCCGGTTTTCTCAATATTCCAGGCGGGCAGTTTTAGCCGAACGATACACTTCGCACCCGCCGCACACAGAAAACAAAATCCACCATCGGCGGCCGCCCCACTAACGCCAAGAGAGGGTGTCGTGACGAATGTCAAGGATCTGCTAAGCCTTGCTAAGCCCTGCTTGGCCCTGCTAAGCTGCTTGGCAGGAGCAAATCTGCGCTTGGCAGGCCTTAGCTAGGCCCCGAGTCCCCTCAGCCAGGTCTTCCGGTGCGGTCATAACGCTCCAGGGTGCGGGGGCGTTATAATCCACCGGAAAAGGGGGGGGGTTCTTAATGCCTTCCTGAGGTTATCCTCCTCCTGCTCCTCCTCGTTCGCCTCCTAACTCCTCGGCCTCGTCTTTGTCCCCCTTCTCCTCCTCTGCCTCCTCCTCCCCATTCTCCTCCTCCTCCTCCTCCTCCACCTCCTCCACTTCTTCCTCTCTCCCCTCTACACTAGACCTACGAACCTGTCCTTGGTTGCGTGCTGACTGCGTACAAATTTCGGGGATAATCCAGCCGTGGACACGAGGGCTCTCCCAGTGGCCACAAAAGGCCCAAGAGCACGCAAAAACCTCTAACCTCGATCCTTCCTCCTCTTTCTCGTTTTCGTCCTGCTCGTCTGATCCTCCCTACGGCTGGTCAGCGCCGCGAAGACGTCGCTGATTTCTGACGCCGCGTCGATCATTCAATATTGAATGACCCCGATCTTCTGTTAGCGAAAATCAGCCGACCCTTTGGGCGTGTGTGAAACGTTTTTCCCTTTGGGTCAGCGTCGTCGCCGTCGCCGCTCCCTCCTTGTCCCTGGGCCTTCCCACTCCTCAAGCGATCCAGCCTCGTAATTGATTCGAAAGGAAACCACCCTTCCCTTTGATCCCTTCCCTGCAGGGGGGGGTCCAGGGGGCGGGCGGGGGGTCCGGGGGAGGGGGTCCTGGGGGAAGGGGTCCGGTGGTCGTGACCCCCACCCCCAAGGGGTCCCCCTCGTGGAAAAGGGGGACAAGGGGGCGGTCTTCCTGTGGGCAGGGGAGCTCAGGACCGGGAATGTGTCCCAGGGGGGGGGGGGGGGACCCAGGAGGGGTCCCGCGGGGAATTCCGGGTGGGGCTCGGGATGGGGTCGTGGGGGGAGCTCGGGAGTCGTGACCTCCCCCCAGGGGTTCCCCCCCATGGACAAGAAGGACATGGGGGCTGTCCCCCTGTAAAATGTATGATTCACCCATAATTCAGTTTCAATAAATATGCGTGCTAATTTTTCGAATAAATTATTAAATTCCTTATGTTTGTTTAATAATTTCAAGCTCCTTTTTTAAACATACCCCAGTGCGACCCCACCTAGAAGTTGGAGCCCATAGGAAAGCAGCATTAGCTGCTATGCTACGCCATGCTACGCCATGCTATGCTATGCCATGCTATGCTGCGCTATGCTGTGCTATGCTGCGCTATGCAATGCTATGCTATGATATGCTGCGCTATGTTATGCTATGCTATGCTAAGCTATGCTATATCATGCTGCGCTGTGCTATCCTAAGCTATGCTATGCTATGACATGTTAAACTGCGCTATGATATGATATGCTATGCTATGCGTTGCTGCGCTATGTTATGCTATGATATGGTTGGCTATGTTATGCTATGCTATGCTATGCTATGCTATGCTAATGCAGCTAAGCTAAGCTAACCCTCTAGGCAGCGCCTAGGCAGGGAATGACACCCATGCTTGTGCTTTGCTTTGCTTGTGCTTTGCTTTGCTGTCGCTGCTGCTGCTTTGCCTTTGCTTTGCTGCTATGCTATGATATGCTCTGCTCTGCTCTGCTCTGCTGCGCTGTGCTGTGCTGTGCTGTGCTGTGCTGTGCTGTACTGCGCTATGCTATGCTATGCTGCGCTATGCTATGCTATGCTGGGCTATGCTATGATATGCTGTGCTGCGCTATGCTATGCTACGCTATGCTATGCTGTGCTCTGCTATGCTAAAGCTCAGCGAAGCTAAGACGACGGTAAGCTAAGCTAAGATAAACATGAGCTAAGCTGAAGCTAAGCTAAGCTAAGATGAAATCAGCTAAGCTAAGATTAGATAAGCAATACTAAGCTAAGGGGACGTAACTGGGGGAACCGCGGGGCGGATACTGGGGGAACCGCCCGGGGCGCTTTCCACTGCCCGGCCCCTTTAAGCCCAGAGAGTAAGAACCGTTCTAGGCAGAGCCTAGGTAGGGAACAAAAACATTTATTGTTTACATTCAAATTGATATTACACCCCCCGCCAGCCCCCTGTGGACATGGGAACCACCCACTCCTCCGGGGCCCCGCCCTGGAGGCCCTCTCCTCACTCTTACCTATGTACTGTTGCGGGCCGCTGTAAATTTTCCCACCTGCCTCCACGAGGCCTCAGATCCGCTCCAAAGTGGTTCCGAGTGGCTGCGGAGCCCCCCAAAAAGTCCCCCAATAGGCCAGCCAACAGAGCCCAAGAGGCTCCCAAGAAAGCCCCAAGAAGGGCTCCAGAGCATCATCGCCGCCGTCGCCGTCGCCGTCGCCGTCGCCGTCGCCGTCGCCGTCGCCGTCGCCGTCGCCGTCGCCGTCGTCGTCGTCGTCGTCGTCGTCGTCGTCGTCGACGTCGACGTCGTCGTCGTCGTCGTCGTCGTCGTCGTCGTAGTCCCCCTTCGGGGTCGTGGCACCGGCCGTAAGGCCTTCTCAATCTTTCGAAATTGTCTGGTTCCAGGCTATCAGAGGCGTTCAGCCTTGAACGCCCGCGCTGCGGTCGCCAACGCGTCAACACGGCGTGGACCTACGGATCATCGTTCAGCCGATCCCCATCCCTACTGTCACGACCGTGGCCTCACTTGCCGACTCAGCCTCCTAGGTGGGGACATTTGCTGTTCCATTCGGGCTTATTCAAGCGTATCCTCACCTGGGGGTGGGCTGGTAGGGCTAGATGACATGCTCGTGATCTGATCCTGGACGCCCATCTGGGCAGGATCTGGGCCACTACCCCGAAGTGCCAATGGCATCGACATACATGGGTTACCTGATCGATCTGCTGGGAGCCGGCGCTGGATTGGACCATACTGCAAGCTCGTATCTTCAGCCATGTATGTTCTAGTGGATGTTTTGGTGTAGGAGTCGGGGTCCTAGGAAGAAGGATGAATTTCGGGACTCTGCTTGTCCCAGTTCTCGCACTCCTCGCCCATTGGCGTGGAGTGCTTGAGCCAAAGGTGCGGCGCGCGATGCATTCTGATCCACCTCTACTGCCGTCTACTGCTATCTACTGCTGCCTGGGCCCCTGGCCGCACCAACGGGAGGAGGCAGGAGGGCAGGGAGGAGAAAGGAGCGAGAGACTCCAGAAAATCTGGGCGACTGGACGTCCAGACCGGACCCAAGGGTCTTCCGTGACACCGAGAGCGGGCGGGCAGATCCTGCCCCCCTCGATAACACGAGGGCGGAAACCGTGACAGCGCAGATTCTGGAAGATACGGAATTGGGTGAGAATGTATCGCTCTCCTGCGGTCGGGGATCTCACCAAGCAGGGATGGACACCTAACGCCTTCGACAAAATCTCATATTACCTCACCCTCAGTACGCATGCGCGCAACGTGTGCACCACTGGATTTCCTATGCAACTGCTGCTACACTGATTCTGTTGATTGCCCACATGCACATATCGTGGTACACAACATGGCCTGGTGGGGATGGGGATCGGTTCAACGATGCTGACCTACAGTGCCCGTGCTTCCTGGCCATTGGCCCTTGGGCTTCTCGTGGGTCGCAGTTTCAGGGGCCCCTAAACCCAGACACGCTAGACCGGGACATCCAGACTACCTCGAAACCAATTGATCCCGACGGCGGCACGAACCAAACTGCACTGCACTGCACAAGATGGCGGCACGGTAAAAAACTGCACTGCAACACTCCTGGAATAAACCCGAACAGTGGCCATGAAAGCTTGCAAGCAAAACCTTCCCAGACCCAGACCAACGCCCGAATCCTGCGGTGCAGCAGCAGAAAAATACACTGGACGGACGACCAAATGCAGCAACAACAAAATGCACTGGACGACCCAAACCTGACTTTGCATGACGGGGTGTCTTTCTCCCGACGTGCCAATGTCCTGGGGGCTGACAATTCCCCTGAACGTTTCAACCGGACGGCGCCTCGTTCTAGCGGCCCCTCTGGCGGCGCTGCCTGAGCGACTCCTGCTGCGCCTCTTCTGCTTGCCTCAGTGAGGAGCAACGCGTAAGCGAGAAGGCGGGGGAGGAGGAGGCGGGAGGAGGAGGAGTGAGAAAAGGAAGTAGGAGAAGCAGGAGGAGGAGGAGGAGGAGGAGGAGGAGGAGGAGGAGGAGGCGGAGGAGCTCCCATAGTTCCAACCGTCCTTTGTCTGACGGGCGGCAGGCACGCGGCAGGGGCCGCGGGCGGCGGCCACGTCAGATGACGAGGCGGTCCTTCCCCGCCTTGCAGCATTTGTTGGGCAGCGCGAAGTCGGTGATGGAGGGCGAATTGAACGTCGCAGCGTGATGGGTATCGATGGCGGACTCGAAACTGTTCTCTCCGTCAGGTTGGTGAGGGACGCCAGCTCCAGGGCGAAGGGGCGGGTGGGCTGCAATGATAGCTCGGGGCAGGGCCCCCCAAGACCACACGCGTCTGCAGTTGAGGTTGTGGCCGATCTCGTCGTTCCCCTCTCTCCATGACCATATATGGGCAATAGTGGTAGGTCGGGGCAACGTGCGTACGGCAGCTACTGCGCCATGCGCTCACGAGCGTGCAAACCACGACCCAGCGCTAGGCGGCCGGGATCCCCACCAGGCGGTCAAGTAGAACACGCCAGCGAATTCGCAGATCTGGGGGCAGCCTCGCGTGCTGGAAGCATGCCGTCAGGCGTTTGGCAATGGTCACCTCGAACTTGTCAGGGCACCACTTCTCCTGCAGCGAGCGGACGTAATAGCGCTGAGAATGTGCCTGGTTCTCGGTTGCAGCGGCGTCGCGTACAAGCCGTTCAGAAACGATGGCGTCGCGCAGGTCGCGGCGCTTGGTGGAGGGAGAAGGGAAGAGGGACCTCACCAAATAGACGCCACGTCTCCCGAACCCTGGGTGAAGGAGAGGCTGCCGAGGGTAGGGCTCCTGTCCGTCAGAGCTCGGCGTCTGGCCATGCCTGCTGTTGTGGCAGGCGGGGCCCGCCGGCCCGCTTGCGCATGTGCCGTGTCTGCTATTTTTCCAGCACGCAGCCATCACCAAGCCTCACATCACACCCAGCAGCACACATTGCGACACCAATCGCAATGCGACTGAAACTGTGAGACGAAGCCGGCCCGAGGAGGAGGAGGGAGGAAGAGGAGAGGACGAGGAGGACGAGCGAACACCGTGGTAGCCCAAAACGGTGGCCGCGCAAATCGGTGGCTTCCATCTTTGGCCCCTGTCAGAAGCAAAGAACACCAGGCACGACGGATGAAAAAGGGAAGAGGACTAGTAGGAGAGGGGGAACGAACGCCTACGAAAAATGTGCAAATCCCCGGTGGTCCACATGACCAGCTGCATGATAAATCCACAATGAGACGAGTGGGAGGGTGGCCAGTTCACGGCTTGGTTGATACCGTCGATAGAACGGCCCAGATTCCTACCGCGTCGAGCGCTCCACGGGTGCGCGAGCACTAAAGAAAACAATCCAATTCAGAGGACCACCAGAAATCCACAATAGCCCCGGACTCAGGCAGGAAAAAAAGAGGGAAGCAAAGGAGGACGGGAAGACGGGAGGGGCGAGGGAAACCGAACGCGCGGCCGAGCTGGCGCGCCAAACTACGACCGAAAGGAGAAGATAGAAAACACAAACAACTACACTAAATAATGTCGAGATGGTGTTCTAGCTTGCGGGCCTGGGTCTTTACAAGCTGACTTGGACGAGGTGCCGGGCTTTCGGGCGACCCCGAGCCGCGTCGCGAATCAAACCGCGGAATGCCGCTTGCCCGTCGGCGCCCAGGAGACCATGCCTGATCGCGTTGTGCGTCTTGCACAACGCGTGCACACCTATCGCCCCGAGGGCAGCCGCAGAAGCCGTGGCGCGGCGGTCCTGGCAGCGCGCTGGGAGAAGCGGTGTGCACGGGCGAACACCTGGGAAGTCACGCGAGCAGCGCTCAGCCAATGGCCAGCTCAGCCCGAGACGCTGAAGACAGAGGGAGCGACATGCACTGCAGAAAGCGTAGTGCTGCAGGCTGTCCTCCCCGCGGGGGCAGTGGAACACGCGACGGCCCGCGCGGCCGAAGCGGCGCTCCGTGATCCAACTGTTCCAGGCGGCCCTGATCTGGCAAGCCTGCGCGCGAAGGGGAGGAAGGGCGAGGATCGTGCTGGGCGGCGGCCCGGCAAGGTGCCGGGCTGCCACTGGCCCAGGCGGTTCTGAACGTGCGCGGCAGCGGGAGGCAGCCTGGAAGACGCGCGTAGACCGGGCCTGCCACCGAGCCGCCGTTGAGCAGCCAGGTCGGCGGGATCCAAGAAGGAGGTCGCCACGCGCGCGCGCTACGCTCAGCCGCTGCCAACTCAGTAGTGGCGCCCCGTAGGGTGAACAAAAAGTTCAGGCTTACGATATTACGCCGACAACTCCGCCGCTCGCTGCTGGTTCACGACAGCCCGGCTCACCTGGAGGGGCTGGCAGGCGCGGGCCTGGATCCAGAAATCCCCGCGCCGGGAGTTTTCGAAACGAGCGACTCTTGCTCGCGCCGCTCGGGCAGCTGACCGGACGTCCGGCGGGGCCCTCAGGAAATGCAGCGCCTTGAGGTCCCGGAAGGCCCCCGCGGAAAACCAATCCTTGGGGCCAGGGAAAAGCGCGGAAGGCTTTCAGCTCGACGGCGTCGAAGTCGGGCGGCAGAGGGCCCAGCTGAGCCGCAAGCGTCGCGACTGGGCACGCGAAAACTGGCGCGCCAGGAGGGCGTGGAAGAAGCCGACGCCCATGCGACCCCACAGCGTGGCACGGTCGAGGAACTTCTTGAAAAAGCGCCCCCCAAAAAACTGGATCCCCGCCCCGGGGCGAGAACCATGCGCAGGTGCTTGGCCTTCCCCGCGATTTGGAAAACGGCCCAGAATGGGGCCTCCCTGACAAAATGGCGCCGCAACGCGTCGCGACCTCAACGGAAAAGAGCAGCGATCATCGTTTTCGCGACGTTGGGCCCGAGGCCGAAGATGGTCTCGCACTCCGCAAAGGCACCCTGCAGGATGCCAAGTTGCCGCAAGAGAGCGGCGTGAACGAGCGCAGCGTCGTCAGCATAGGCGCGCGCGCAAGCCCCGGGCACGCGACGGATCAGGCGACGACGCAGCAATATGCCGGACGCAACTACGAACAGCAGCGGCGACAACGGGCATCCTTGCCGGACGCCCTGGGCCACGTCGAAGCCCTCGCGTCGGGCGCCGCCCAAGGCTGTGTAGCACGAGTTGCGGATGTAAAACCACGAGATGAACTGGGAAAGCCAAGTGAGCCATCGGAGAACCTGACAAACGGCGATCGCCACGTCGTGCTCGACCGACGGAGAGGCTGCGGCGACATCGAAGGAGATGCCCCCCCTCGTCAGATGTGCACGCGCTTGTGGCCATTGCCTCTTCGATGTCCACCAAAATGGCCAACGCGATGCACCCTGCGACGAACCCTCTCTGAGACAGTTTGATTGTTGGACCGGCGACGGGTTCGATGAGGTGCTGGACAGCGTCGGTCAAGAGCCGGCTGTCCGTGTTGGTCACATTCAAAAGTCGAGTTCTCGGCCTCGTAGTAGCCCCCCCAGTTACAGCGTTGCCCGAAGCATTCCTGGATAACAGGACGGGCAGGCTAGCGTTGAAATCCCCCCACTCCTCGTCGACGGCCACGCAGCCCCCATCGTCCACCACCGCTCGCACTGCGTCAAACAACACCGATGCAGAGTGTTCAAGGCATCTGCGCCAAGCTGAAAAACTGATGCCGTCAGGGCCTGGAGTAGAGCTGTTGGAATGCTTAATGGCGTGCTCGACGCGTCGTGTCCGGAGCTCGGGGAAAGCAGGGGCGCCCTCGATTGCGGCCGCGGCGCCCCTGCTGGCCGCGTCCTCGTTGAGCACTGCTCCAGGAAGGAATGGTCGATGCCCTTCGCGCGAATCACGTCCGGCCAATGCCTGCGGGGCCCAGCGGCCATCTCTGCGGGGTCAATAAGCACCCGCCCCGCCTTGGCGAGCGCGGCAGACAGCGCGACCCCTCTGCCAGGAGCGAGGCGGTGGATCAGCCGCACGTTCTTCTGTCTGGCCTGGCTGTCTCTGACCGCGACGCCGTCGACGAGGCGCCCGTGGGATTCACGTAGCTCGTCCAACGCGCGGTCTCTCGCCATGTCGACTGCGTGCTCCCGCATGGACCATGGGCGAATTAAGAGGTCGCCCCCAGTCTCGTCGGGATCGCCCGCGGGCTCGGACAGATATGGGCATCGCGCGATGCAAGAAGAGATTCCCTCCAACATGCCCTGCTCTGCGCTCCGCATGAACTTCATAGTGGCACCCAGTCTGTTTTCGAGATCAACGGCTTCTGAAGGCTTCCCCATCGCGCGGCCCAGGCGCGCAGCGACCTCCATGGTGGACTCTTCGTGCACGCGGAGTCGGCGGATCGGGGTGGCCAGCGGGTTTCCGCCCAGCTTGGGGTGGTAGTTCGAAGCCAAGAGAGGAGGACAATCAACGTGTCGAAGGGCACGCTTATGTACCGAACGCGAGCGTTCTGGAACACGCTGCGGCGCTCTGCGGGGCGCGAAGACGGCTCGATGCGCAGATAGTTCTGGTCGCCACTCCAAGGCCAAAGCCCGCGGGCAGAGGCCCAGCTGCTCCGACGCATGGGAGCTCGCGTAGATACGGCCCAACCGCGAACGGGAAGAGGCCGCAGCACGCGCGGGCTCGCCTTGGCATAACTCGCACAGGCGGGCGAGCAACAACTGCTTGAAAGGGGCCCTACTCCCCCTGATCCCGTCTGCCAGTTGAGGTCTTCGAAGCGATGGCAGTCCTGTCCATGAGGGGGTTGGCGCAGTTGAAGTTTCCTCCGAAAAGCGTGAGCACCTTATCCCTGGGGGCGATCCTCCCAGCCAGCCCGATGCGCAGATGCGCCCGCAGGACGGGGGATGTCGCGCGCGTGTCTCGCGCGGCGCGGCCCGCGCCGAACAGGCCGATCCAGCTCGGTGACAGTCGCCCCTATAAGGAAATAGTTGACGAAGATATCCCGCGCGCCGGGCGAGCCTCGC